TATCTAAGGTTATAAAATTCAACACTAAGTTTTCCATAAGTTTTGCTTTAAATAGTTATAAAGAAAATTTGAAGCGTCATTATAGGAAAAATGTTTTGAGCGTTTGAGTTTTAAACTTTTATGAAATCGTGTAATGATAACGATTTATTCTCAAACCAGGTATATGTATATCTATGATAATATAAAGTATTATGAATTATGATAACTTTTTTTTTTTTTTTCCTTATGGTATCGAGGACCGGAGAAGGAACTATGTTGCCAATACTTCTCCTCCAGCCCCCAAGAATTATGATAACTACATGCAATGTTTTTGGAAAAATTGATTAACCATGCCTTATGCAAAACGCGTCTTAATTGAAAAATAAAATATTAGTTCAAAATAGAATATATGACAATATTTAAATATAATATATCCTAGACTGACAAATCATCTCCGTTCAGAATCGTTTTTCGTAGGTATACAATGATACCTATCAATTATCATTGCATTCAAATCTAACCTACCCTAGTCAGAGGTCCACCCCACCACCTAATGTACAGCAGAGCGATACCCACTTTCCCGCTTTTTTTATTTTTCATGTTTCATAGAAGTTTACGTAAATCACTTTAATTTTCTTAAACTTTGAATTTATTTGTTTGATTTTTTTGATTAGTTGTTACCGATTTCATAATATTATACTCGCATTATGTTGGTGGTTGTTATTAATTAAACTCTTTATTTCGAATATTAGAGTCTGGTGTTGAAAAATACAAATGTACAGCATCTATTTGTGACAAAATTACGAAATTGTTTTCTTGGTATATAAGATAAATTTGTGTGAAACATTCTTATAAATCGTATTTTTATTTTTAACATTTTAAAAATAATTGGAAATATACAACATAATAATATGAAATGTATCAAACCAAATTAAAGACTTATAGTCATGACAAATTTAATCAAAAATAATTTCTAAACTTCTATGATATTTGATATKACCTTCTGTAGTTTTATCTATATTACTCATATATTTTTAACCTTTGTGTATGTGATAATAATAGAATTCATAATTCAATCGTAAACTAAGTAAATGGGGATTGTTACGAACTAGTGCTTAAATTTGGCAATATATAAAATTATAACATATATAGTGGTTTGTAAAACTTAAATCTCAAACTTATCATCGTCGTTATTCATAACATGATAAATATTTTGGACGGCGCTTTGGATAGGCAATTCAAGGGCACTTTAATTTAGATTTTAGAGTAATATTATAATCACATAGATATTGTGTTATAGCATTATACGTTATTTTGATGTATTAATTTAGAAAATAAATATAGGTGTAACATTAGTAAAAAAATTATTTTAAATGTTGGGAGTATCATTACATTGACCTTTCAATTAAAATTACATATTGTACATTTTACGTAGACATAGATTATAATAATTATTAGTATTAAAAAAAAGGCGGGTAAGTCGTGAATGTCGCTCTGCTGTACAGTAGGTTACAAGTGGGTTACTGTAATGGATGGAATTAAATTTTAATCCAATGATATTATATCATTGTATACGAAAAACGATTCTGAGCGAAGATGACGGTTTATCTGTCTAGGATATATTATAGATTATTAAAAAATTTCAAATCTTAGATTTAAAAAGAAAAATTTTTAATAAT